TATGTCTTTTACCTTCAAATTAATATTTCTTTCCTACTACAAATTAGGGAATCAAAATTTTGATTTTCACTAAAACTAGAAAAAGATTCACTTCATTTTCTCTTGAAATGTAATCTTTTCTACATTTAACTTCTAACCATCTCGAGGATTTCTTCAAAAGAAAGGAGGGGAAAAAAACATTAAAACTAACTTTATTTGATTTATACAAGTGTATTAATTAGTATTGAGTTATGTCAACAACTACACCTTTATTCTCCATTAATTTTGGGTTTAATTAGGAATTAAGATATTAATCCAAATTACGATTGTATTGCTAATTTTCATGTTGTCCCGACCTGTACGAGGAATCAGCCACCTTACGTACTAAGTCTATGACATAACATCTTTAATCCTTAATTGGAAACAAAATACAATTTAGTTCAATTTTTATTTTCAAGCAATATTGTGATCCTTACGGTCAAGAGTCAAATACTCTAGTTCATATATTAATAGAAGTATTGGTTAAAAAAAATAGCAATAGAAGTATCAAATTGTGGATGATGGATAAGAGTATAAATAAAATGAATTTATTAATGGTTTAATGATAATTTCCTTCATTAAAAAATTATAGTTATTGTATGCACGATATTAAGATTTAGGGAAACAATTTTTGTACAGCTTTTTTATCCCATCATTTTATACAACTTGACATGTCATTTAAATGATTAGTTCTTTTAATTCATGTGAAATCCATGATATTAAATACATCTACTCGTTTAATAACATGTAAAAATGATATAAAAAAGTAATATAAAAAAATTATTCTTATAGCACCACCCTAAGATTTAATGGTTTAACCTCAATGCTTGTTATGATTGAACCTAAAAGACTTGATTTTTTGTTTGTCCAAAAAAGATATTATTTTTTAAAGAAAAGAAACTTGTGAAGTTTTAATAGTTAAAATGATTTTATCATTAACACAGAAAACTTTTTCACCTTCATATTAATAGTTTGGACTTATTTTCATTCTTCCTACCTTTTTTCACATGTTTGAAGCACTTGCGCTTGGTCTTCTAGCCCTGTATAGGTGCATCCCCAAATCAAAAATTGGGTTCTGAATCCCCTTATCCCAAAGTTGTAACATGTTAAAAAAAATTTGAACCACTTACTAAAAAAAAAAAAAAACAGAATTTGGAAAGTTAAAATTTGATAGGAATCTGTTTGGGAATAAAAAAAAATGATGATGAGGCAATCACTTTTTTTTTCTTTGCAGATTAGTACCGGAAGTCATGGTCAATCCAAATGGTAAGTAAACTCACAAAGGGAACATTCTACAGAGTCACTTTAGTCAGGACTGCCGGCCTTTTGCTAAAACTCACTTTGGGTAAAGTAAAAGAGAAAAGAAGAAACAAAGGAAAACGAGCTTAGAACAAGATTTTTGGTTAATATTAGAGAAAACCTCTTGCCTACATATCTCCATGCTTTTCCTTTTCATCATGTAAAGGATACAAAGTGAGTAAAAAGTGTTACCAAAAACACATCCACTCCATCTTCCTTTCTCTATGTCACACTTGCTTGAACATCAAGATATGAAATTGGTTTGACGGGTTTTGTGTGGGCCTTCATCCTTAACCTTACTCATCAGCCAAAGAAATATAGGGAGAATTTTTTGAACAAAGAAGAATATTCATAATTGATTAATTTTGGGTTGAAAAGTAATCTTGAACTAAAATAGTGAAGTGATGTGTTTCAGTTATTTGTGGATGGGTTTTAAACTCAAACCTTTCAATAAACTTTCAATATTGCTGAAAAATTTATATGAAAAAATTTTCTTTGTATACAACTAAGCTTGTAGCTTAATAGGTAAGATACAAGTTCTCCATAAAAAGGAGATTTTTTTTTTTAACGGAAAACTGAAAATGAAAGCGGTTGAAATCCTCCTCCAACGTCAATAAAAAAAGAAAAGAAAAGAAAATCTATGATAAATAAACTTAATTTAATAAGGGATGATGTAAAGTGTTGTGGTAATCCTTGCTTTTGTAACAAAATTTATACTTTTTTGTTGACAAAAAAGCTCAATTTATTCTTTTTAAAAGCAAATATTTGGAAAATTTTTAGTCAACTAATTTTTGCAATGGTCATGTTTATTTTCAAAAACATTTGTATAATTTATATGTATTTTTGACAATAATAATTCAACTATAGTGTTTTTTTAATAAATTTTTGTATAATATAATATGACATCAAATAAACAAGTATATACTAATTTACTTGTCATACCATATAAAGAGTTAATCAGTCAATCACTTATTTCATGAGACGCCATATTATACTAATTAATAAAACAATTCAACTAAATTAATTTACCTTATTTAGAATTGTTTAGACTGTGGTATCATAAAATGAAAGAAAAATCCCTTAAAAAAATGGAAAAAAATATAAAATTAGTGTTATTTATTTTATTTTCTAAATTTAAGAAAAAAATATTAAAATTATGTTATTTTAATAAAATATTATTAAAAATCCAATCAATTTAATTTATATTTCAAAAATATAATATTTTAATTTTTAATAAAAATTTATTAAAATAGTATAATTTTAAATTTATATTTTTATAACTTACATGAAGTAAGGAAAATAAATAATTTTCCAAAAAAAATTCATGCGAACATCATCATTGATTAACAAATCCATGATTAGTTTTTAACTTACCAAGTCACGAAAAGTTAGTAACTAACCGATGCAACGAGCTGGGTCCACAGGATCAATGGTCCAAAATGTAGGAAGCATGGATGGTGATGTGGGGTCGTACCTTTTTGCGCATTTTGATTATAATGACGGTGAAACTGTAAAAATGTACAACGCGTGGAAACTCAAGAATTATATTTATATATTAATATAATAAGTATTATTATTATTTTTTTTTTTACAGTAAGATATAGTTATGATTAGTGTTTGTATTTATTTGTGTTTAGAAAGAAACAGTTGAAAGAGGTGCTGTCCAAGTTATCACTTGCTCACATGGGGTTCTGTAATAAGTATTATTATATAAATTAAATTTATAATTTAAAATTTGTTATTATTATTAAAAAATTAATTTTTTTAAATACATTTAATTTATATAGA